CCATGGAAACGGCATATGGTGAGATCTCAGATTTGACGTAGAGCTGTTGAGGCATGGACCGGTGATATAAAAGTGAAGATTGGGGGACGATGGGACCGTGTCCATTGGAGTTACAGCGACACCGTGTTTAATGGCGAAGGATCTGTTGCCATGGTAACGCCACATTAAGTAACATCAGATTTGACCTAGAGCTGTTCAGGGCTGCAGTGTTAACCATCATGTGAAGTTTGGTGGCGTTCTGAGCATGTCAGTTTGAGTTATGACATCATCGTGTTCCATGGCGAGGGATCGCCTAGCATCGAGTGAACGCGAACTTTGGCTCCAAATCACGGCTACGTCGTGCGAAATAAATGTTTTTCCATGATAACTTTTAATTGCCCATGTCTCGAGAAGCTACCCGACGAATTTCGAGTGGAACGGATAAAGTCCCTAGGAGAAGATAGATTTTGTACGGAGGACTAAAAATGCGATAAATCGCGTTTTTTCCCAACGCCAAATTCAAAATGGCCGACTTCCTGTACATTATTTTATACCCCTCCAAGAGGTTTTTTTGTTCGTCTCCGCACCCTAGATATGCGTAGCGACAGGCTTGGATTTTCGTCATTTTAGGGGCAATGCCATTTGGCCTTTGGTGTCACACATTTTTTCAGGGCGCAAAGGCAACATGCCAGGGCACAAAAGCCATTGAGGAAAAAATTAGGATTTGGAGCTTACAAATAAATAACTGACAAAAAACAAATCACTTTTTTAATATCAATAATCGTATCATCATATAGGCCTATGCCTCCTTAGTATTACCGTATATAAAATGAAATACTTTACTTTGAATAATTAGTGTTTGGTATGTTTTCCAACTACTACTTCTCCCATTCACAAATCCGAAATGAAATCTAAAAATCAAAAATTCTATTAATATGTAACAAATATAATCCATTTCAGAGCTGAAGAAACAACCTTCAAGGGTCAAACTCTGCACATACATCATTCAGCAGTACACAGTGAAGCTCCAACATCCAACTGTATGAACAAGCAATACTTTGAAATGCAAAAGCGTGTGTGTGTCCTCACAGCTCCTTATATCTGTTCAGAAACTGGACAAAAGTTAAAGGGATAGTGGAAATGGAACCTCAAATAGTTTTGTTTTAACTTATATACAAGCATAATTACGTACCAAAACAATCACACCTGATAAAAAAATATAATAATTGCCTTACGCATGTTAGAAGCACTTTATTGCAGCTTCCCCGAAGTTTTTTAGAAACGAAATGTTCGACTCAGCCAAACCGGAAGTGACGAAAACTCAGGAAGACGATACGATAACAAACTATGGCGTCTATGCAGAATGAACGTGGAAGGGCAAATATACCAGACAAAGAAGAAGGATTGTACGGGGTATCCAGTGATGATAGCGAGTCAGAAACATCCTCTCGGCTTTCCTACGAAAATGTCGTTTTAGGAACTGAATCTGAATCCGGTTCAGTAAGCGACGATGGTGAGAATATTGAGCCAGACGATGGACCATTACGTCCTTATTTGTTCGAGCCCGAGCCCGAGGTGATGGTTCACGGCATGGGCAATGGCGAGGATGACCAGGACCAGGCGCCAGATGATGCACCCCTACGCACAAATAATCTTGACTGGTAGGTCCCTAAGCATAGCTCACGCATCTTAAGATCACCTGTAGCCTTTACAAATATTAATCATTGTTAACCAGTTAAGCCCGAAGGTCCCCCCAGTGGACCCCTCCCACAGTTTTTTTTCTCTCACATGTCTCAGGGCTTCTTAACATTTATGAAACTATTAATGTTTCATACCCTTTTAAAGGTAAGAAACTCCGCTAACTGACAATAAGAACAATTGTTAGCTAGAAAAAACACAAGAGTAATACCAAGCCTTTGAATTAGCATTGAGCGAAACAATGCTAACTAATGCTAACGCTTTTTTACACACAACACACGGTGGAAATGCCCTTATTACTATCTTAACTGCACAAACAAGATATACGATTTAAAGCTGAGACTCCACAGATGTAATGTCATCACTGTAAGACCTCGAATTCCTGGAGCTATCAGCCAGAAAAGAGAAAGTAAACAACATCCGGTTCCAAAAATATTACAATAATTACGTCTTACCTTTTTTGATTTGTGATCAAAAGTTGTGTTCAACGGAATAAAAACGCATCTCAAGGTTAATCCAATGTCGTTGTGTCACGTAGAATTTTTTACTGATAATCAATCATCATATTTATGGCAATATACTCGGTATAAAGTATTGCCGTCTTACAGTCTTATAGTATTACCTATAGTGAAAATTTCTGAACAAATTTCACCCACTGACGACGAATGGCTGGGTTTCTTGGAAACGCATGAGTCGATACGCCATTCTCTGCATTTGTTGTCGCACTACAGCCATACAAAACACATCTATTCACCATAATAAAGGTCGGCTATTCACATGCAAATGCTATTGAATGTCCGCCATTGTTTGTGCCCGTCTTCCTCTGCTCTCGTCATCACTCGAAGATTCCCGACGATTCCCGAAGTATTTCGTTTCATTGAGAGGGAGCAGTAAAATTGAAAATAAAATGAAACTAGGCGCATGAAATTAAAAAAAATTGTTTATTATGCTTATTTTTAATACAAATACATAAGTTAAACCCAAAATTCGCGGATTTCCACTATCCCTTTAAGCAAGTACAAACCACAGACTGTCTGTGTCATGACGAATACAGTCGCTGCTTTAATTCTGTCTTTAGGACGTTGTTGTGAGTTTGGACGGAGCAGCTACAATGTTAGTTTAGCCTGATTGATCCAATCTCCATTCACAAAACGCGCATTTTAAAAGGTTTTTCGCATGCCGTCTTGTCTGCACACTTGTCAAAGCATTAAAGCATGGTTTTTACTAACCATTATCAGTATTTAGTTACTTCGGCATCATTTTGAAACGTGTTTTACAATGAAATCACGGTAAAATAGGTTAATTTGGTCGTAGTTGGTTTCCACCACAGTATTTACATGGATATAAGCCCCGCCCCCTCTCCAGCGCATCCTGTTTGAATGACAGGAGTAAACACAGCTGACAGCCGCGGTGAAACTCCGACTAACCATCTGTGTTGTATTAGGGATGCGACGATCGATCCCATTAACGGGTATCAGGCCGATACTGTCCTCATGTACTCGTACTCCTAACGGTGCATCCCTAACTTTTGGTGAAATCAAACATTCTTCCTCGTAGGTCTTCAGATATCTTTTTTTTGCGTTAAAAAAAAGTTAAAACTTGTTAATAGCAAATACTAATGTTTGAGGGATTTTTACAAGTTAACGCTGGAACAGCACTTCTTATCGTGTTTCACTGATTAAAACAAAGTGTTTTAACTCCTGACTCAATTAGTTTTTGTTAAATTCTAGGAGGTCAAATACTTTTAGTGATTTAATCAAAATGGACACGAATATATGTGTGTTCTACAAATTATATTAAGTTAAGCATGAGAATCAGTAAAACCTTGCAATCCTTTTTTTATCTGGACATGTAAGGATGAAAACCTTTATGTTGACAATGTTTAATTAAATTGTTAATGTCAAGACATTTGATGAATGTAATTAACTTTAGCTATGTTGCTAGTTTATTGACTCAAGTGAAACCAACTTGAAGCTCTGCAGTGTAAGTAAGAAACAACTTAGTCTAATAGAGCCCTGTTCATTTGTGTTTTTATTTGATTATATACAACTCAGAAAAAATACAGAGGGCCGGACCTCGTTGAGTTTAATGGGGGGTAAGGCCATGACTGCACTTCAATTGACTGACCGCTCTAGTTACTCTTCTAAATCATTCATATCTCTATTTAGAGCTGCCTTAAAAACACAAAAGGCAATCCGGGTCCCAAGCTGTATCCACATGTGATTTTAGGGGTACCAAACCACTAGGGATGGGTCCCGAGCCCCGGTATTAAACGGGCCCCGGGGCTGAATTATTAAAGACCGTGGTACCGTTATGCTCCGACGTTAGCGGTCTTTTTATCGGTACTGGAGAAATGTAAAAAATATGTCGTGTATTATTGCTACACAAACATTACATTGCAGTTTTAGTGTCGCCAACTCCGTTTCTAACATGCAAAAAGACTGCAAAATGCTTCTATGATTATTTTTAGTATTTTCGATCTCTCTCCCTCGCCTGCTTGCGAGAGGGCGGGGCAGTTTACACACACGCAGCTGCTACATGCAGCAACACACACACACGGAGGAGATGGCGGAGAGAACGCGCTCCGAGGTGTGGTTAAACTTTACCCGTCTCGATGTCGAAAATGCTCGTTACCAAAAGTGCAATAAGAGTTGAGCATGTAAGGGCGGTAACACGAGCAATTTGTCTAAACATTTCACAAAAGTGCTCCACATTCAGACGGAGAAATGCACCGGGTTCGACTGTCTTTCTAGTAGCTCTGTAGCCCCATCCACGAGTAACGTTTCCACGTCAGGTATTATGTATGCTAGCAGCAACACACGGAGTTATACAAACATTTATAATTAGAGGTAACTTAGTTATTTATTTTGTTAAAGTTTCAGCTATTCTGGCATCAGATTATTTAATACGATCTGTTAAAACGTTGTTTCTTTTGATGTGAAATATTATGTATTTAATTTAAATAAAAAGCAATGTTAGCTTTGTTCACAATGTGTTTAGTTAGTTTACCTTTTATTTTATTTCAAAAGAACCGATAAGAGTACCGTTAAAAGACCGGACAGATAAGTGGCATCGATAAAAGTAGTAGTACCGTTAAAACCTTAACGATACCCATCCCTACAAACCACTCAAATTCCACTTACCTTTCTCTGCGATAGTTGTTGGTGCATAAATGTAAAAATATATTAGCCATAGGTATTTATGATATTAATTAGGAATATACAAATAACAAGGGGGTTCAAAACGGGGCTTTGAGCAGTGACGTAATGAACACAACAGCTATTCTCTGTAACATCTCTGTGTGTGTTTCCTGTTTCCTGCAGACGTCCAGCAGCTGGTGGTGGTTAAAGAAGAGGTTCCTGCTGAGCAGCACGAGTGGAGCTCCAGTCTGGACCAGAAGGACCCAGAGCCTCCCCCACACATTAAAGAGGAACAGGAGGAACACTGGAGCAGTCAGGAGGGAGAGCAGCTTCAAGGGCTGGAGGAGGCTGATATCACCAAGTCCACATTCACTCCTGTCCCTGTGAAGAGTGAAGATGATGAAGAGAAACCTCAGTCCTCTCAGCTTCATCAAAGACAAACTGAACACCTGGAAACAGAAGCTGATGGAGAGGACTGTGGAGGACCAGAACCAGCCAGGAACTCAGATCCAGAGAGACATTTACAACCAGAGACTGAGGACAACCCTGGAGACTCTTCTGAACCTGACACTGAATACAGTGCTGATTGGAAGGAGACCAGAGAACCAGGTTCAAACTCTCAGATAAATAAACAAGACTCTGTCAGTGATTCAAGACGTAATTCAGGAGAGAAACAATTCAGCTGCTCAGTTTGTAAAAAATATTTTAAACAGGGAGGACATTTAAATGACCACATGAGAATCCACACAGGAGAGAAACCATTCAGCTGCTCAATTTGTAAGAAATCTTTTGCAGTGAGAGGAAGTTTAAAGGACCACTTTAGAATCCACACAGGAGAGAAACCATTCAGCTGCAGTATTTGTGACAAAAGATTCACCTGGAGGTATAAGGTCAAAAGCCATACGTGTGTTGGTCGTCAGTCCTCACAGCTTCATCAAACTCAAAGTGAGGAGATCAGAGAGGCAGAGCCTCCAGCCAGCAGCTCAGCTGAACACATGGAAACAGAAGCTGATGGAGAGGACTGTGGAGGACCAGAACCAGCCAGGAACTCAGATCCAGAGAGACATTTACAACCAGAGACCAAGGACAACGACAAGGATGACATATTCTGTTCATTTTCAGGTTGGTATTAGTATATTGTCTTCACTGGGACATGTCTCCATGCTTTAATGTTGAAAAAGCTCTTTATTTTTGTCATACTGCCTCTTTTCAGCCTCTGTCTGAAACCAGAGCCCAGTCTGCTCTGAATGGTTAACTGGCCGGCTGTTGTGATTGGTCGACCACTTAGAGATGTTCTGCCCCTTAGCCTATCATTTACAACGTGTTGTTGTGTCCCCAGGTCAAATCAATCAGGATACTTTTCAGAGGGGAAATATACGTTGTTACAACAGAAAAGAGCCAAAGGCAGCTTAATGTTACGTAGAAGCTTGCATGCAAAAGTATTAAAGTTATGAAATAAATAATATAAGTAAAGAAAAAACAACAAAAAGTGACACAATTTACAAAATACACATCCTGTAATAGTTCTGAGGATTTAGCAGCCAGGTGTATATTGCACAGTTTGCACATAGTCTGATCGCTGCAGGAAGGAAGGACCTGCGGTATCTCTCCGTGAGACAGCGGGGGTGCAGCAGCCTGTCGCTGAAGGAGCTGCACAGTGCAGACAGGGTAAACAACGTCCTCCCCAGAACATTAAATGTTGGATTTCATTTTCTGATCCTGCAGACACCCGCTACACGGGGCGGAAGCCCTTCATCATGCCCCCCCCCTTCAGCAGCAGCTCATCACAGAGGAGAGGAGACGCCTCTCCCCCCCTCTGAATGACTTTAAAGTTACAGAAGAGTGACAGTTCTAATCCTTTAAAATGATGCCTTGACCTCATATTTTGTCCTTCAGATTTAAAAACAACGCTGTTAGGGCTAACTTCTCAATGCAGAGCTAGTGAAGATGAAGAGCCTCAGACTCATCCCTCCATGCAGAGCTAGTGAAGATGAGGAGCCTCAGACTCATCCCTCCATGCAGAGCTAGTGAAGATGAAGAGCCTCAGACTCATCCCTCGGCACAGCACTAAGCGCCTCGGACGATCTTTTGTGCCTGTAGCCATCAGGCTGCACAACCAAGGGTTAACCGTGTAACCCATTATACATAACCTGCATCTTCATCAATATCTCAACTCTTTGATATTCACTTGTAACCCTCTGTGTTTTATCAGGGATGCAACGATACCGATCCCATTAACGGGTATCAGGCCGATACTGTCCTCATGTACTCGTACTCCTAACGGTGCATCCCTAACTTTTGGTGAAATCAAAAATTCTTCCTCGTAGGTCTTCCGATATCTTTTTTTTGCGAGGCATGGTTCACATCAGAAGTTAAAACTTGTGAATAGCAAATACTAATGTTTGAGGGATTTTTACAAGTTAACGCTGGAACAGCACTTCTTATCGTATTTCACTGATTAAAACAAAGTGTTTTAACTCCTAACTCAATTAGTTTTTGTCAAATTCTAGGAGGTCACATACTTTTAGTGATTTAATCAAAATGGAAACTAATACATGTGTGTTCTACAAGATTAAACGGATTGTGTTTGTCTATAATTGTGACTTACATGATGATCAGATCACATTGAATTAGAAATGCATGCAAAAACCTATAAAACTCCCTCTGGAGGGCAGCAGCATAAATGATATGTTAAGTTGTTATGTATGAGGATCTGTAAAACCTTGCAATCCTTTTTTTATCTGGACATGTAAGGATGACAACTTTTATGTCAAGACATTTTATGAATGTATTTAACTTTAGCTATGTTGCTAGTTTATTCACTCAAGTGAAACCAACTTGAAGCTCTGCAGTGTAAGTAAGAAACGACTTGGTCTAATAGAGCCCTGTTCATTTCAGTGTTTTATTTTATTACATACACCTCAGAAGAAATACAGAGGGCCAGACCTCGTTGAGTGTAATGGGGGGTAAGCCCATGACTTCACTTCATATGACTGACAGCTCTAGTTACTCTTCTAAATCATTCATATCTCTATTTAGAGCTGCCTTAAAAACACAAAAGGCAATCCGGGTCCCAAGCTGTATCCACTCAAAATATAATTACACGTACCTTTCTCTGCGATAATTGTTGATGCATAAATGTAAAAATATATTAGCCATAGGTATTTATGATATTAATTAGGAATATACAAATAAGGGGTTCAAAACGGGGATTTGAGCGGTGACGCAATGAACACAACGGCTATTCTCTAACGTCTCTGTGTGTTTCCTGTTTCCTGCAGACGTCCAGCAGCTGGTGGTGGTTAAAGAAGAGGTTCCCCCTGAGCAGCAGGAGTGGAGCTCCAGTCTGAACCCGGAGGACCCAGAGCCCCCCCCACACATTAAAGAGGAACAGGAGGAACTCTGGATCAGTCAGCAGGGAGAGCAGCTTCAATGGCTGGAGGAGGCTGATATCATCAAGTCCATATTCACTCCTGTCCCTGTGAAGAGTGAAGATGATGAAGAGAAACCTCAGTCCTCTCAGCTTCATCAAAGACAAACTGAACACCTGGAAAGAGAAGCTGATGGAGATGACTGTGGAGGACCAGAACCAGCGAGGAACTCAGATCCAGAGAAACATTTACAACCAGAGACTGAGGACAACCCTGGAGACTCTTCTGAAACTGACACTGAAGACAATCCTGGAGACTCTTCTGAACCTGACACTGAAGACAGTGCTGATTGGAAGAAGACCAGAGAACCATGTTCAAACTCTCAGAGAAATAAACAAGACCCTTTCAGTGATTCAACACGTAGTGCAGGAGAGAAAACATTCGACTGCTCTTCGTGTGAGAAAACGTTTACACAGAGAGGAAATCTAAATCGGCACATAAGAATCCACACAGGAGCGAAACCATTCAGCTGCTCAGTCTGTTCGAAATCTTTTGCACAGAGAGGACATTTAAAGTGCCACATGAGAATCCACACAGGAGAGAAACCATTCAGCTGCAGTGTTTGTGACAAAAGATTCACCCGGAGTCGTTCGGTCAAAATCCATAAGTGTGTTGGTCGTCATTCCTCACAGCTTCATCAAACTCAAACTGAGGAGAACAGAGAGGCAGAGCCTCCAGCCAGCAGCTCAGCTGAACACATGGAAACAGAAGCTGATGGAGAGGACTGTGGAGGACCAGAACCAGCCAGGAACTCAGATCCAGAGAGACATTTACAACCAGAGACTGAGGACAACCCTGGAGACTCTTCTGAAACTGACACTGGAGACTCTTCTGAAACTGACACTGCAGATTCTACTGAAACTGACACTGAAGACAGTGCTGATTGGAAGAAGACCAGAGAAACAGGTTCAAACTGTCAGAAACCTAAAAAAGACCCTGTCTGTGATTCAAGACGTAGTGCAGGAGAGAAAGCATTTGGCTGCTCTTTGTGTGAGAAAAGGGTTGGACAGAAAGGAAATGTAAAAGATAATGTGAGTATCCATACACGAGAGAAACCATTTAGCTGCTCAATTTGTAAGAAATCTTTTGCAGTGAGAGGAAGTTTAAAGGACCACATTAGAATTCACACAGGAGAGAAACCATACAGCTGCAGTGTTTGTGACAAAAGATTTACCTGGAGTCATTATGTCAAAAGACATAAGTGTGTTGGTCGTCAGTCCTCACAGCTTCATCAAACTCAAACTGAGGAGAACAGAGAGGCAGAGCCTCCAGCCAGCAGCTCAGCTGAACACATGGAAACAGAAGCTGATGGAGAGGACTGTGGAGGACCAGAACCAGCCAGGAACTCAGATCCAGAGCGACATTTACAACCAGAGACTGAAGACAACCCTGGAGACTCTTCAGAACCTGACATTTTCCAAGTCAAATCTGCATGTGTAACAAAAAAAGAGGACAATTAATTAGTCCTTCGAGAATTCACATGAAAACATCTGTCTGGCTGTATAAACTGTTTGACAATATTTATATATGACTTCATATAAACTCTTTTTCAACAGAAGTTTTGAATATGTTTAATGTTTTGTCATACTACGTTTTTGATTTATACTATAACAACTGACTGATTAATCTGTAATCTGTTTGGTTAATGAAAAGTTGTGACTTGTAACTTCCATTGGGATGTTTTTGATAGTTCCTGTTGAGTTATCAGTCTGTTCTGGTCTAAAAGAAGAACCAATGACTTATTGATATAGAGAAACTGTACGATGTTTTCAGTTTTATTCTGTTCTATTTTGCTTATATTATCAAACCAAACTAACCTGCTACTATTAGATCCCTTGCATATTTGAGTTTGTTTAAGCATGCGTTATCATCTCACTTTCACCTGGTCTGCTCTTGTTATCTATATCTATTGGACACTACTGTCTATCAAATTGTAAGTATTACTTCATGAATTTTACTTAACAGACTGTACGTGGTTTGTCATGTTTTGCTTTCTGTTATTTTGTTCATGTCTGTAAGTTGTTGCTTCTGTCGGGACCCCCTTGAAAACGAGATGGTGCATCTCAAGGGGTTTATCCTAATAAATACATTTCTAAATAAAAGAGAAATGCCTTCGAAACAGACTCAAATCCCTGCATATTGTTTGTGTTCACAGATTACATTCAGCTCATTTGGAGTTCAGAGTTAAAATGGATTTTTAGGATTATTCCTGCTTTTTGAAACTAGTACGGGCTCATGTGTTTCATTGTTGGTGTTCTGTTAAATGAAAATTGAAGTCCTTTCACCTCCGTTGAATCAGAGTGGAAGCAGAAATAAAATACTTGTTCATATCAAACGCTGAATTGTAACTCGTATTATTATTTTTTATACCTGTCTTAATCTATATTAGCCTTTTTTAAGTTTCATTCTTTCTGCTCTTTATTGAAGGTTTATTTAGATGAGATTAGATTTACTTTTATATTTAGTTGTAGCTGCAGGAACGAGTAATAAACAAGGCATTGCACTAAAGTTGAAACGATAAGTATAGGCATATAAACATCAACAATATATATATACCTCCATAGTTTCTATGGTAGACACACAATAAGATATCAATCAATCAATGTTTATTTATATAGCCCAATATCACAAACTTTACATTTGTCTCAGTGGGCTTCACAGTTTGTACAGAATATCAGACAATACAACATCCTCTGTCCTTAGACCCTCACATCGTACAAGGAAAAACTTCTGGAGAAAACCCACAATTTAAAGGGAAAAATGGGAGAAACCTCAGGGAGAGCAACAGAGGAGGGATCCCTCTCCCAGGACGGACAGACGTGCAATATATGCCGTGTGTAAATTGAAAAGATAATGCATTTGCAACATAGGTAGTCCAAATGTTTGGAAATGCATGTGTCTGTAATAAGAAGAGGAATCCACGAGGATATCCATCCAGGACTTATAATCCAGGACCGCAGCAACAGGATCATCCATGACTCCGGATCCCAGCCTATATAGACACCAAAAAGAAATACATTTGGGGAAGCTGGGTTAATCGGAACATGAGAGTACACAGGCACAGACGGAGAGAAGGAAGAAATAAGATGTCCCCCGACAAACTAAGCCTATATCAGCAAAACTAGGGGCTGAATCTAATCAGCCCTAACTATAAGCTTTATCAAAAAGGAAGGTCTTAAGCGCACTCTTAAAAACGGATAGGGTGTCTGCCGCCCGAACACAAACTGGAAGCTGATTCCACAAATGTGGAGCTTGATAAGAAAAGGCTCTGGCTCCCATTGTACTTTTAGAGACTCTAGGAACAACCAACAACCATGCATTCTTGGAACGCAATGCCCTAGTAGGACAGTAGGGTGTAATGAGTTCTTTAAGGTAAGATGGCGCCTGCCCATTAAGGGCTTTGTAGGCGAGAAGAAGAATTTTAAATTATATCCTGTGTTCTATAGGGAGCCAGTGTAAGGCAGCCAGAACAGGAGTAATGTGGACCCTTTTCCTAACTCTAGTTAGTACACGAGCTGCAGCATTTTGAATCAGCTGAAGCGACTGACTGACTTCTTGGTACACCCTGATAATAAGGAGTTACAATAATCCAGCCTTGAAGTAACAAATGCATGGACTAGTTTCTCTGCATCGTTTTGAGGCAAGATATGCTTGATTTTTGCAATGTTACGTAGATGGAAGTAGGCGGTCCTTGAAATAGATTTTATGTGGGTGTTAAAGGATAAATCCTGATCAAATATAACACCAAGATTCCTTACAGTCTCACTGGAGGCCAAATTAATGCCATCCATAGTTAGTATATCTTTAGATAATTTGTTTCGTAGAGTCTTCGGGCCAAGTACAATAACTTCAGTTTTGGTCGTGTTTAACATCAAAAAGTTTAAGGTCATCCACGTTTTTAAGTCCTTGAGGCAGTCTTGAATTTTATTTAGATGATTAATTTCATCAGGCTTGATTGATAAATATAGTTAAGTATCATCCGCATTACAATGAAAATGTACAGAATGATTCCTTATAATATTGCCTAACGGAAGCATATATAATTTGAACAAAATAGGTCCGAGCACTGAGCCCTGTGGCAATCCATGGCTAACTTTGGTTTGCGTGGAAGATTCATCATTGACACGTACAAACTGAGAGTGTTCAGATAGATAGGACCTAAACCAGCCTAAAGCAGTTCCCTGTATGCCAACTAAGTGCTCTAGTCTTTGCAATAAGATATCATGGTCGATAGTATAAAATACTAAAAGAGGAGTATGGGTAAAAAGAGACTTTAATGCCCTGACACACCGAGGTTGCTGTCGGATAATCCAAAAATCAGCTCCTAAATTCTAACCCTATCTCCTATTCCTTGACCTCCGTGTGAAACGTCACGGGGTTAAGGGATAGTGGATAGGAGAATTCAAAAGGACTTAGGAGAAGAGACTGCGGTACTTTAGAGAATCCGACTGCACTTTCACTATCCGACGTGTTTATGATGCGCCAGCGGACATCATAAATGTGCGTCTGCTGCTGTGGGGAAACTATGGAAACTACAGTTTTCTATAGCGGACTACAACATGGATGTTCAATAAGAACGAGGGACTACTGTAAACTCATCTAGAGACTCTGCACCGTGCTCTGATGCTGTTGCTTTATGCTTTATGAACGTGGACAACAGAGAAACATATTCTTCATGACCAAAGTTGGAATTGAAATAAAAAAGGAAAGTGAAACCCTCTCCCTCCAGTCCACATTAATACAAATGATCCCAATACGTATGATTGTATGAACGTTCAAAACAAAGCACTTTGGCAACTTACCACATACGTTTTAAAAAGCTTAGTAAGCACCATAACTTTCATGATATCATTTCTCCGTCATAATCGGTTGTTTCCGTGAACGGCCGACTGTTGTGTGACGGCAAATGCTGCGGCTGCAAGGCATTGTGGGGCAGCATTTTCTCCTCTCCTTTCGTCAAGGGAGGCCCAGTGGTTCCTAAGCTAAAGGAGGTTATAAAGGAAGTTTGAAACCTCCTTTCCTATCATCTCGAGAATTCGAACGGCACTTATCATGGCTGCCACTGAAGGACTTCCGGGTCATTAGGAACGTTCCTAAGCTAAATGGACCATTCGTCTTCAGCCCGAGTCAAGATGCATCTGTCGGCCATGTTTTTGTAACACACATTTACCGTGACACAACATTTGAATGTTCACGGAAACAACCGATTGTTACCGAGAAATTATACCATGAAAGTTACGTTGCTTATTCAGCATTTTACAACTTATGTGGTAACTTTCCAAAATGCCATATTTTGAAGCTTCAACACTATAATAATCAAAAGGAGAAATATGAACGTTACTTTTTTAATGACATTTTCAAATAAAGTCTCTCAGTGTTTACAATATCTCGGCTTCCAAGCCACTTAGAAGGTCAATCTTGGTGTCAAATTATACATTTTCTGTGTTCCATCGTTCTGTTCTTCTGGCGGAACATCTCTCTTCATGCTTCCTTTACAGATTCCAAATCACTCGTTAAGGATTACTCTGTAGCGCTCTAGAAGTTGAAAGTGTTCGGCATCTATGGTCAAGGGAGTGTGCGGATTCGCTGCCATATAGTTGAAGGCTTGGGTGACCTCAGGGTAGGAATTCCAAGCATCCCATGCTGACTTCTTCCCCTTCCAGCAGAAGGCTGAGGTTGTGTCACAGCCGGTGCAACAGTGGAACACAGGAAGTGCCGTTGACCTGTCTTTGTCCAAAGTATGGCAGATGGTATTGATGTGATGATAAGTGTAGTTTTTGCAGGTGACAAAAGCAACCCAGATGTCTGCAGCTGAATACTTGGTGAGCAGGGCATGGAACTTGCCAATGAGGATAACGACAACATCCGTATCCATAGTGCGTACCAAGCAAGTAGAAGAGCCATGCTCCAGGGAATCAAGCAGATGAATCATAATCCTGGTGCCTCTTCATGGTTACATGGCAGCATGAAGTGGCTGGTGTCTGTGCCAACTACTCTGACGCCAGATGTAATGAAGACCTGCTTGCCAACCGGCCAGGCAGTGGATGCAATTTTACTGGAGAGCAAGGTGAAGAGCTCCTGCTTGTTCATGGGATCAAGCAAGACATCTGGCCAGTTCCTTGGCAGCTTCTTCTGACCAGCAACCTTCCGCCATATCCCTTTGCCTCGCTTCTCCCTTGTTGACTCTTTTATGCTTCTGGTGATGTAAGTATCCCAGACCACATCAACTCTTTCTGATGTCTTCAAGAGCTTCATGATATGCTGACCAAAGACACAACTGGCACATTCATCAAATGTGGTAATGTTAGTAGTGAACAGGAAGTGCACAACAGCTGCACCGTAGAGTACTTTCACATCAAAATTACCTGGATGTTCCTTTTGTGTCTTCTGTGTCAGAATAATTAGCAGATCTAACTTATTTGCCAGCCGTAGTTTCCCTCTGTCAGATAGAGAGGGAGAGTATGGATGGTTGTCATTCTTAACCTGTTAAGCCCTGAGCCTGTTTTTCAGGTCTCAGGCTTGAAAATGACATTCCCAGAACAAATGACCATATCTTCGCTTCTAAAATGGATATATTAATAATATTTTTTCTCAAAGCAAGATTACAGTTGAGTTGGATGGAGAAGTCTCAGAATCAATATAGAAGTTTTTATTTTAAAGTAAATTCAGATTGAACATAGTAAAAAAATGTATATTATAGTGTCCGTCCAAAAGCAAAGACTACTTATAGTGAAAACCACCCTTGAATGATGGGATAGTAGACTAAAAGCTTTATGAATCCAAACGATAACATATAATAAGTACCCTGTATCAAGATTGATGCAAAATAAGTGAAATTTGACCTTTTTTAAAGATTTAGAAAAAAATACCCACTTCTGGGGTCATTTGGGTGCATTTTCCATATCTCTGGCCCCCCTCGCTCGATTTTGATGATTGACACCTCTTTTTAACCGTTAGAGCCAATAAAATCAAGGGGAAGTTCCATAAAATCCATCTAAACATTACCCATTGGTTAATGAGTGATGCACAGCCAGAATGCCCCGGAACCGGAAGCTGCATACTCTGGTGGCTATCATTAGCAGCTAATATGAAATCTCCGTTTTTGACTTAAAAATGGAATGATGGATTATCAGTAATCATTTCAAAGTGACACAGACACATTGGATTAACCTTCAGCAGTGGTTTTATCGTTTTAATGCCATTGAACACGACTTTTGATCAGAATAACAGCTAAGGTGAGACGATCTCCCGTGAATGCTCCGTAAAGCTACGTGTTGTGATGTATGTGTTTGCTTCCCCTGTCGCGAGTTATGATCGCTCAGAGATGATACTGAT